ATAAGAGAAGGAAGAAGTTGCAGAAGAAGAAAAAGAAGGAAGAAAAAGAAAGAAGAAAAGGCCGTGGGTTTGGTAGGAGAAGAGAGAAGAGAGAAAAAGAAGATGAGTTGTTGAACAGAGGAGAGAGAAAGGGATTTGGGATAAAAATGAATTAAGAAGAGTAAGAATGAATTGGTAAAAGAAAGGGGAAATCACGTCAGAAGTGAAAGGAAGAGAAATTCAATGGGTATTGGTGGACCCACTAATAAATGATATGAGAGAGAAAAATGGTGGGCTGTTAATGAAGAGGGAGAATGAATTATAAAATTGGATTTACGTGGATTAATTTGGAAGATAATATAATTTCATCTGGGAACAAAAATATGTTGAAGTTAAATTGGATTAAAGCATGAATTAATTTGGTATTGAATCGATATTTCAGGTTAACCAGAAATTGGAACGAAGGACGACCGAGTTTGAAGGATTTATGAGTGGTTAATTTATTAAATGTTTTGGATATTATTATTGGAATTTGTGAGTGGTTAATTTATTAAATGTTTTGGATATTATTATTGAAATTTGTGAGTGGTTATTTAATTAAATGGTTTTGAATACCTATTGATATAGAATTTATGAGAAATTATATATTATGTATGATTTAGCATTTCTGCTAAGAAGGAAAGAAAATGTGTTTGTTCGAGAATTTAGAAATGTTTTTGAGAATTTAGAAATGTTTTATGATGTAGAGAAATATTTGAAGAAAGATATGAAATGTTATTTAGAAAGAGATTTCAGAAAATAATATTAGAATTTCATGAAATGTTCTCATAAAGAAAGATTTTAGAAATGATTTGAAAAAGAAAGAAAAGTTCTTAGAAAGAAGGAAAGAAGAATTTTAGAACAGTTTATCAGATTGAGAAAGAAGTTTTCAACCACTATATTATTGTATCCAGGTGATTACCCATATGCTATGTGAATGTGTTTCTATAGTATACCCAGAAATAGAAGGTCTTTGGGACCATTTACTCCACGTGTTGAGAGAATTATTCTGCTATGCGTATTGAGATTACTCTATGCTAGTAGACCAGAATTATTCGGCTGTGTGTATTGAGATTACTCTACGCCAGTAGAGCAGAAAAGAAGGTGGATACATGTGTGGTGTTGAGTTTTATCTATCTGTTTTATGTTTGAAGAGGAATGTTTTATATGTTTTAGAATGTGTTTTAGCGCATGTTGAGAAGTTGGCGTAACTAGGATGCAGGGGAATGCCGGGGCGATAAGGGCCAAATCCGGATTTCGAATCCTGGTCCGAATCCTGGACTTGGGAGCGTTGTCTTTTTGGTTTGCCTGTAAAGAAATTGTTGTTACAAGTTTGATTTTGAGAAGTTTACTGAGTTTTATGAAATGTATAACGTTGCTCTAGTTTTACTCGAATTTTAATGAGAATGATTATTACTTCAGTTTTCTGATGTTTGTTTTAAGAGCTGAATTTTTAGTTGTTTATGAAAGGAAGTTGACGACAATATTTTCTTATTAACTTACCACTCACTGAGCTTCTCAGCTCACGGTTTATGTTTTGTTTTCCCCCCAGGTTGTTTCTGAATTTCTGAGTTTCAAGAAGAATTTAGTTCAGCTCCTGCCACCCCGAGTTGTTCAAGAGTTGCATATCTCTTTGTATGTAGTTTAGTTGGTTTGTAAGAAATTTTATCTGCATTCTGTTGTTAGGAAAAGAATGTATCGAATGGATGTAAAAATGATTGTTTGGTTAAGATTAATATTTCATTGTGCATCCATTCAGAGTTGCTTTCAGGTCAAAGGAAAGAAAGAAGTTGACCACTGACTTCATAGTTAATCGAGGTCTGTGGTTGGTGCGACTCGTTCTAGGGCTAGTAAGTGTTTGGGACGGGTCGTGTCAGATTAGCACTACATAAGTGTGTAGATCTATTGTATGTGCAGGTGTTCGTTGGAGTTTTCGACGTCTCGGAGACTGGATCCAAATTCTTATATGAACAGTGCTATTACTGACAAGATAGCATTTATTATAGATCTAAATCGTAAATAGGGTTTTCTTTGAAACTTATTTTCATAAATAGATGGTTAATTTGTATTTTGCTTGTGTTTTTTACGTTGTCAATTTTATTGGTAGGTCCCTTAAAAAACAATACCTTTTTTTAATTGTGTTTTTATATTATACTTGAATTTGATTTTTTATTATTCAACAAATTGAGTTTTAATTTTATTATGCTATTTAGGTAAAATTTTAAAATTTTTGTTATATTTGGTATGGAATTTTTTTTTTTGACTTAAATTTAGATTCTGTCCAAAAAAATCACAGCCACAAAAAACTTTCTAATTTAAAAATAGCAAAGAGACAAAATTTGTGATTCAAAGAAGGAAAAGATCAAACTGTGGCGTTGAAGTTGCGAGAAAGGTCTAAGTTGCCATTGGCAATTCTCCAACTCCACGTCAGGTCGTCAACAATGTTTTGCGCGCTTTTTTTTTCTTTGTGCCATAAGCCTTATAAAAAATTCGTCGGAATTTTCGGGTCGGCGACTAAAATAACATATTGAGTATTTTTCTTTTTGTTTGTTCGTTTATTTTTTTTTTCCTTTTTGCTGGCATCTGGAGATTGAACCGAACCGAATCAATATATTAAGTTTAACTTTAATCAAACCAAACCTGTCCTCGAAAAAATATACACACTAATTTTTGACCAATCTTATTTCTTTGATCAATTTGGTTCGGTTTAGTGGATATAAAATTAAACCAAACCGACTTAGACCTGACAAAAACAAAAAAACAAAAAACAAAAAAATCAAGTATTTAGCATTTTCCTAACAATTAGGTGGGTTGACCATAGAGATTAGCATGATACCTAACTCTAGGTTGCCCGTGTATTTCTCATGTTTATTTTTCATAGGACTTTTAACCATGGTCAAGTTAACTGTCGAAACTGTCCTTTAAAAGGGTTCCCATAACTCAAATTTCACATAATCCTTTCTGTTCGTTCTCTATAAAACTCATATGCACACCAATTTGATGGTTGAAGGAGCCTTCCCCTCCACTTGATTTCATTTCTCATTTTCCCCACTCAGCTTCCAAATTTCCGGTACATATTTCTCCTCTTCCACTTTCCTTTAACAAACATCCCAATTTCCAATTCTTAACATGAAAAAGGTTAATGAGCTACCGTTGTTGAATTTTTCAGTTGGGTTTGTTAGGATATATTGAGATGGCTGACAAGATAGAGAAAGTTACCTGCCACGATGACATCACATTACCGATCAAGGCCCAGACGATTGACGAACTCCATCACCTACAGAAGAAGCGATCCTCGCCGACTACTCCAATAGGTGCTGCTCAGACGGTCTTTTCTACAATTTCTGAAGAAGATCGCCAAAGACAACAACTCCAATCAATCAGGTAAAACACTATAGAAAATACTCAGCTCTTTACCCGTTATGATCTATTTTAATTTTGATCACGATTAGAAAATTCTTCACAGCTAATTAATTTTAAAAGAAAATGTATATCTCTTTATGAGTTGTAAGATCAATGGTAGCGGAGATAAAATAGAAGACCTAAGTATTTTATATTATTACTGTGACACATGCACGATTGCCGTTTAAGAACAAAACGAGCATAATAATTTTCGTGTTTATTTCCATGGGAATGGAGAAATGTGCCTATGGGATTAGACGATTCTATAAATTATTGTTCGCTACGTGTCAGAAAGCGAAATGAGTGACACGTGTATTTTATGAGTAGTTTTGTGTAATTTCGTTATTTTTATACCATTCGAAAGTGTCAATTTTTTTTTTTTTGTGGGTTGGAATATTCAGTGCATCGTTGGCTTCCTTGACGAGAGAAACTGGGCCGAATGTGGTGAAGGGAGACCCGGCCCGAAAAGGTGGAAGTGCGAAGGTTGCACACGTGGCGCACCACCATGTCGCACCCACCATCAACATCAGCGACAGCTCATTGAAATTCACACACATCCTCTACAATCTCTCCCCCGCAGGTTAACTTTTAAAATAAATAAATCCATAATTCAACAAAAACGACATCGTTTAACTCGAGGAATTGAAACAGAGTTGTACGAGCAAGCCATAAGGTACGAGAAGGGGTCGTTTCTAACTTCCACGGGAGCATTGGCGACGCTGTCCGGAGCCAAAACCGGGCGGTCCCCCAGAGACAAGCGAGTTGTCAAAGATGAAACTACAGAGAATGAGCTGTGGTGGGGAAAGTAAGTAGTATTCTATTCGCCTCCCCAAATGGTTTTAATTAATGATCGGATGATCGATCATAATGTAATTTAATTTGTGGGTTGGCAGGGGATCTCCAAATATTGAAATGGACGAGCACACTTTCTTGGTGAATAGAGAGAGAGCCGTGGATTACTTGAACTCTCTGGACAAGGTATTTGTGAACGACCAATTCTTGAATTGGGATCCCGAGAACAAGATCAAAGTTAGAATCGTTTCTGCCAGGGCTTACCACTCGCTGTTTATGCACAACATGTAAGTAAAATTCAACATTTAATGAATTATATATTAGTCCAATTATTTGAATAATTGGGGGGGTTTTTTGGCAGGTGCATTCGACCAACGGACGAAGAGCTGGAGAAATTTGGGGCTCCGGACTTCACCATATACAACGCGGGGCAGTTCCCTTGCAACCGTTTCACACATTACATGACATCTTCGACGAGCGTGGATATGAATTTGAGAAGGCGGGAGATGGTGATTCTTGGAACCCAATACGCGGGTGAGATGAAGAAAGGGCTGTTTAGTGTCATGCATTATCTCATGCCCAAGCGCCAAATCCTCTCTTTGCATTCTGGCTGCAACATGGGCAAAGATCGCGATGTCGCCCTCTTCTTTGGATTGTCAGGTAGTTTATTCATCCTTTAACATAACACATATTCATCTAGATTTAAGCTGGTAGGGTTTATCAGTTTTAGAGATATGAATTTTGTTTTAGGCACGGGAAAG